TATATATATATGTATATATATATATATATATATATATATTGTAACATCTTGTATTATCAGCTCCGGTTGATGCAGAGCAAATATCATGCAACTCGTTAATTTTGTGATTTAGTAGTTTAGTTTGCATTTGTTGCATAGTCCAGCATTTCAGCTTAGAATTGGCCTGTGTGCAGTTGAGTAACTCTAAACAGAGAAGGGGTTTGTGCTAGTCATTGTTTTCTTATATTGTATTATTTCACTTTATTCTGTCTTTTCTGTTAGCATGGTTTTGTGGTGTGCATGGGTCACTTTTCAGTTGTTTTTAAAATTGTATTTTATTTGCTTCTGTGTGAAACTGAAGAGTTCTAATCTGCATACAATCTCTATAGCAGACAGGTTTGCTCAGAGCTAGCCAGTTTATTTACTTTTAAATAGTGTAGTGTGATTGTTAATGATGTTTAGAAATTATAAAATTAGAGGTATTATTTATGCACTCTTAATTTATTGTGACTGAAAAAAAAAGGTTTTAATAGGGCTGGTAGAGATCACGTGGTCATCATGAATGTGTACATTGTTTTTATAGCAAAGGGTTCTGGATTATTTGTATGTTTGATACAGTATATGTTCTTAACCTGCATAATCTTGTCTTTCTGCTAGTCCACTACTTTACTGCATGTTTTTTTTTTTTTATTATAATAAAACATGTTTCAAAACTTTGCATGCTTGATGCTAATTCTCTAGAACGGTGGGGGATGTGGTGAGGTTTCACATGCCTTTCTCTGTTTGGATTTATTCTCTAGACTATTCACTTCACTTGCAGGGTTTTGATATCTTCAGGTTGCATAAATTCTGTAATGTGATTTACTTATGACATCACTTATCACAAAGTTCAGCATAGGAAATTAGTTATCATTAGAGCCAATACTCAGCTGAAGATCTGGCAGATCAGATTTAACAATCACAATTTATTTACAAGATCTTCTTTCATCAGCATGAAAGTTGGCATAAAATGAAAATTATAATTTTTTTTCATTTGATCTCCCTGCGATCTCGTGGTGATGTATGCAGATCGTCTCCAATCATTTAGTCTACTTAACCCTTCCCTTTCTCACAATAAACTGCAAGCTCGCATTCAGATCTGCCTCCATTCAATCAGATGTTTCACTCAGATGTACATGTAAATACGGGAAAAAAATATTCAGTTGTATTCAGTTTCATTGCAACTTTAAAGGGGTCATAATGATGCGATTTAATTTTTTCCTTTCTCTTTGGAGTGTTACAAGCTCTTGGTGCATAAAGAAGATCTTTACATTTGCAAAGACTAAAGTCTCAAATCCAAGATCAGAATATGTTTATACAGTATTTCATGCTGATTTAACAAATTAGTTAACTTATAATATGAGTAGCATTTTAATAATATTGAGAATCACAATCCAAGTTACTTTATTATTAGAATTAATGCAGGTAGCATCTTCAGACTGCATAATAAACATGTTTATTCTTCACAGTAACCAGATTAAAGGTTAAGTTCAGTATCCAAGCTTTTAGTAGGGGATAATTTCTCCCCTGTTCATTTGACCCCTTTTTGTAGGATGATGGGATGATGATTGATGACTTTGCCGTGTCTGATCAACTTTGGGTAAGGCTGTTAGCCGTTAGCCACTGTGCTAACAAGCTTAGCACGGGTATAGCCAGTGTACAAGGCTTATGGTTTTGTTTTTGTCTTTAATCCTTGTAATCACGGTGACGTCAGTGTGCTGTCATGGTGTTTCGGATCTTGTTGTCAACTCAGGATTACCCAGTTGCTTGTGGTGGTGATTTTATTTGCTTGTTCCTCTCACATTGCTACCATGGTGACGGTATGATTTCTGCAATGTCAAAGTTTATTTTCTATTATATTTTAACAGCCATTGTGATGGCTTTGTCGTTTTACCCAATGGTGACTTCACGGTTATGGTGTGGTATTAATTGCCTTGTTCAACCACTCTTATAGATAGGCTACAGGCTTTCAGTTAGCTTTAGTCGTAAATTTTACACACAGTGACCGTATCAATTAATGACAGCCTGATGAGCCTGTGAATTTATGATTTATTTACAGTACTGTATCTGCCCACTTATTTCATTTGATTCCAGTACTTTCCATTAGGGTTTCTCTTGAAACTGCTTGATTGACAGCATAGTTTGGAGAACGATTTCAGCATCATTAGATTCAGGGTGGCTGTACAAGGATGGTGATTGTGTGTTGTATTTTAGATTTGACTATAGCATTGTAGCAAATTACTTTGTCTTGTCTAGAGGTCATGTGGTTATAGAGGTGACATTTTGTCTAAGACCAGTGTCACCTGCCTGCTGCCTGTCCCTGGATTTCCTCTTCATTCCCTCCTGTTTTGTCATGTGTTTCTCTATCTTTTGTCTTGCTTCCCCTCTCTGTCCTGTCTGTAGGATCCTGTCTTTTCCTCCTCCTTTTCGTGTGCCTCTGAACCACTGGATCAAATAGCAATCCTCCCCAAGGTGAGCAAAAACACCCAATGTAAACTATCCTCTTCATTCCGCCCTCTGATACTGACAGCGTCCTCTTTTGACCACTAATATTTTTTCCCCCCCATTTTTAATTCCTGCCCCATACTAAATCCTCTTAAATTTATGGTTAAAGCACGTCAGACCAGAAGTCCACCATACAAAATACAGGGACAGTGTTTCAGGGATGGCAGTTCATTGCCTGTATATATTGCCTGTGTTATACTTGCATGTAACAAAGAAATGTACATAAATGGTAAAACAAAAAGAAGAAATATAATTATTAAATAAACAACATCTGGCTTCTGGGAACATCCTTTTACTTTTTTTTTTTTTTTTTTTTTTTTTTTTTTTTACACAATGCACATCATGTACAAGCATTTCTTGAAGTCTAAGAAATTACCTCTTTGTATTTCTTGGATTAATTGAGCACTCTCAGTTCTTGTCTTCTTGACAGATTCTTGTCTTCTACTAACTAACTCTTAAACTCTTGATCTTCAAATAACTTTATGTAATTTTTTAAATACATTTTATATGCTTCACTTAACGCTTAAACCTTTTGGCCTTTATAAATCTTTCTACCATCTTCATTATCTTGACCAACTGATAGGACGACACATACATGCCTATATAATTCTGTTTGACTGTAAAACTAAACAAGGAGTAAGAGGTCAGCGGTGCAGTGAAGAATCTCCCTCCTATGTCTATTCATAAGAACCTCTTTAGTCTAGCATCCATCCTCTCACCTTTTATCCTTTCTTTCCATTCTTTTCTTATCCCTCATTCCTCCCATCTGTCTTCCTGCTCTTCCCTCTGTGTGAAGGCTACCCCCCTGCCCGTGCAGGTGGATGAGCATCACCCCTGGAGACGGAAGGTGCCTCTCACCCCCAAACACACATCCACTATTCCTCCATAACACAACAATAAGACTTGTTGTAATGTATGTAAACGTATGTATGTTAAGTGTTTTTGTGGTGTTGTATTTGGTGTCTTTTTTGGAGAAAATAACTAGCTAGTTTGACTACATATGAATATTCTGTATATTTTAGATGCTTTTAATTTGGTGTGTTTCCAGGGTAATGTTAGGAAATCGGTGGCTAAGTGTGTATACTGAAAGCTCTTTTCATTATTTTATTTGAGTTTTTTTTTCTTGGCTAAATCTTTTATGAGATGTGTTGTTTCTCTCACTACTTTTATAAACATAATGTTTATCAACAAAGTAGGGGTCGACCGATATGTGATTTTCAGGGCAGGTACAGATTATTACATATCAAGTAGACCGATAACCGATATTTTGAACCGATATATGTCTAGTGTATAAATGAAAATTAATGTCAAAATTAAGAATAACAAGGGCTCTGACAAAAACTGCCTTTCCTG